TAATGAAGTTTGAATGATACACCATTCTCTTCGTTTTTTCGTGTAGAATCTGATTTTCGATGTTGTCAAGATGGCGCCCAAAATGGCCGCCCCGGGGGTCAAAATTCCAAAATTTGAGAATATTGTCGAGTTTGGAATCCTTTAATATGTAATTTTGGTCGCAGAATTCATATCTGGTGTCAAAAAATCATTTCAACCCCTTAGGGACCGTCAAATCCAAGATGGCGGCCAAAATTTCAACTATAATGATAATTACCCAAGACGCACCTTTTACTGTCGAATGACGTGTCTTCATTCATGTTAATTAGGTCAGAAAACCTACAAGGGAGGTCTACAATGCCACTGCACCCTATGGAGGGCCAGGGTTCACCACCTCCTACCCCCAATATGGCCGCCGCGGAGGGCATAAATAGTGACATTCTCTCAGAATGTCATAGTAGGTGTCGATTCCTATGTAATTTGAGGCGTAAATTCCAAATTTCAAGTCATAAATCGCAAATGTGAGACTTGCAATGGCTTATACCCTATATGAGGCCAGGGGAACCTCCTCAACCCCCTCTTCTTTCTAATATGGCTGCCATGGGGGGCATAAATAGTGAAATTCGCTCAGGACGTCATGTGAGGTGTCGATTCTTATGTAAGTAGAGGCGTAGATTCCGAATTCCAAGTTGGAAATCGCAAATTAGAGGTCTGGAATGCCATTACACCCTACGCGGGGCCAGGAGCAGCCCCCTACCCTCTTCAAAACGGTCGCCAGGGGGGCATAGTTGCAGTGAAATTCTCTCAAAGCGGCATGTGAGGTGTTGATTCTCATGTAAGTTGAGGCGTAGATTCCGAATTTTAAGTCAGAAATCGTCAATATCTCAAAGTGACAAAAATACTTAAGCATGGCAATCGCTCTGGCCTTCATCTTGGAATAAAGAATGCATCTTGGGTTGGGTTCATTTATGTAGAAAGAGCTGGAAATGACTCGGATAATTTAATGGTGATTGACATATTTCACAGGTGTTCTTTTTCAAATGTACACAGAGGATTCATATTGGTTTCTGGTTCTTTCATTATTAGATAACTGGATAATAGATGGTTCTTTTTGTAATCGATTTTCTTCTAGCAGGAGCGTGCGTTTTGTTGCAGATAACGCAGGAAACTGTAGGTGTCGCTTCTACTAGGAGACGAAACCCTGCGCTACAAAAAGCACTCAATTGTCCAGTTGTTTTAATTGCAATTAAACTGAGTGCATTCATAAACAATAACATTGGAACTCTGAATGCAGATACATACTTCGTCGGCAAAAAAATTATATTTTTGTGGGAATTTTTAAAAATGAAAGAAACAGACGTCCATCTGAGTCCTTTGGGCACATAGAAAAAGAATACGCGTGAAATTTGTCAATTACCATTAAAATCACCAATTCATTTCCAGCTCTTTCGACAAAAATGAACCCAAGTAGCATTTTTAGTCCAAAATGTAGGCCAAAGCGGTTGCCATATTTAAGTATTTTCGTCACTGTGGGATATTTACATGTTTTGACTTGTGATTCGAAATCCACGCCTCAGATTAAAAACAAATCGACACCTACTATGCCGCTTTAAGAGAATTTCACTGTTCCTATGTGGGCGAATATTGGAATAGCGGACATTTCAGGGTGAAAAAAGTCGATAAATCAAGTTCATAATTTCCCTTGGAAGTTGTGTGTTTGCTTAATTCTGGACGATTTCTGGGATCTGAAAACGTACATGGTCCCAATGTTATCGGATATTTTTTTTAATACAGTTTTTCCTGTACAAACTCCAGCTATGTATGACGGTTATGAGCGTGTGACAGTCATGAGTTTCGCAACATAAATGCTGCACGAGCCGCCATCTATGGAAACGAACATATGAGCACCAGATCTCTATCTTGGATTTCTATCTTGGTATAAGGATATGCCCTTCAACACATGGCACGCATGATTTTAATGAAAAACATTTCCAAATATAAAAAAACTAGCGTGACGGTCGTGAGTTCCCAATTAAACAGAATTATTTCTTGCCAACTAATATTGTTCCGATTCACCAAAAACTTCAACCTGGTAATGATAAATACTTCGTCCCACTTCAGGGCATCCCTGGGCATCACCGACGCCGACCGGATTCCGGTTGCGCTACTTACCAACAGTTTGGTAGGAGCATTTATCTCTATAGTCTAGCTGTGACGGTCGTGAGTAAACTTTTTCGAACGTTCTTATCCGCTTGTGAACGAATTATAATTGTCTTCTATTTATTTATTTACAATGAAGAAACGTATTACAGTATTTCATGATGTACAAGTTCTCGAATAACAGTTTACTCTTTGAGTTGTAACGGTGCAAGCTAGGAACCCTATATAGTGTCGGAATGTCTGTGGTCGCAATGCGGGAGACAGTCGTGCGTTTGACATCATTCAAAGGGTTAAAATTACCAAAAAATAAGAATGTTAGCTAATTTTTTAATGTTTGTTTTTCGGAAAAAGTGTTTTCCTCATATAAAGGCCAAAAAATTAGGAGTAGAACATATTTATATGCTAATAAAATACCAGGGACAAGAATGTACCTACCATACTTGAAATTTTCGCATATGTAATATATATGCCCCTCCCAGCGGCCGTTTTGGAGAGGAAAAGGGGTTGCTCTTGGCCCCCCGTAAGGTGTAATCGCATCCCAGACCACCAATTTGCAATTTCCGACTTAGAATTCGGAATATACGCCTCTACTTACATGAGAATCGACACCTCACATGCCGCTTTGAGAGAACTTCACTGCAACTATGTCCCCCCGGCGGCCGTTTTGAAGAGGGTAGGGTGTAATGGCATTCCAGACCTCTAATTTGCGATTTCCAACTTGGAATTCGGAATCTACGCCTCTACTTACATAAGAATCGACACCTCACATGACGTCCTGAGAGAAATTCACTATTTATGCCCCCCATGGCAGCCATATTAGAAAGAAGAGGGGGTTGAGGGGGTTCCCCTGCGGGGCGATTATTGAAATGTTATCGACTCTATGTCGCCGCTTTGTCGTGTCGCGCCATCGACTAAGCATATGCTTAGTCGATTGCGCGACACGACAAAGCGGCGACTTACAGTCGATAGCATTTTAATAATCGCCTCGCTGGCCCCATATAGGGTATAAGCCATTGCAAGTCTCAAATTTGCGATTTATGACTTGAAATTTGGAATTTACGCCTCAAATTACATAGGAATCGACACCTACTATGACATTCTGAGAGAATGTCACTATTTATGCCCTCCGCGGCGGCCATATTGGGGGTAGGAGGGGGTGAACCCTGGCCCTCCATAGGGTGCAGTGGCATTGTAGACCTCTCTTGTAGGTTTTCTGACCTAATTAACATAAATGAAGACACGTCATTCGACAGTGAAAGGTGCGTCTTGGGTAATTATCATTATAGTTGAAATTTTGGCCGCCATCTTGGATTTGACGGTCCCTAAGGGGTTGAAATGATTTTTTGACGCCAGATATGAATTCTGCGACCAAAATTACATATAATGGATACCAAACTCGACAATATTCTCAAATTTTGGAATTTTGACCCCCGGGGCGGCCGTTTTGGGCGCCATCTTGTATTGGGGGCACCAGCATCATTTTTGGACTTGACAACATCGAAAATCGGATTCTACACGAAAAAACGAAGAGAATGATGTATCATTCAAACTTTATTACACAAGCTGCACACAGGACTCTTTTTTTGTCCATCTGCTACCGCACTATTTGTGCGATGATAAATAGATCCATGAGCGCAATTTTAAGCGCACCCCCGTAGCAAGCACTTTCCGTTGGTAGGTGTTTTGACCCGATTCATCGCCGCGCCGCGCCGCGCCTTATACAACCTAAGTGGTCGCGACCTTGCGTGATCTCCCGGACTCACAGACAGATTTTCGATAAATAGCGATGTATAAAGGTTATCTCACCTCCCATAAAACATAATTCGTTTATCAGGATTAGTTTTCATCCTACAATTGATTTATATGGCGGGAAGAAAGGACAAAAATTCGTACAAATCAAAATGGAAGCGTATTCTTTTTTGGCCTCTGGGTATCTGTCGTCTGGAGTAAGACGTGATATGAAATGGTTTGAAAGATCGACTTGCCATTTTCGATGTTTTTTTCTGGGAAGTTTTGCAGTAACGGAAGAAAGGTGGAAAATGATAGGATCATTTTGACCGAATACTTGCTCCGTACTTATTTAACTTCATTTGTAAATCTTCAAAGACTATCAACATGAGTTTGAATTCCGTAATTAATTGATAGCCTGGTCTTTCACCGAAAATTAGGCAGAACCATATTATGTCCTAGGTTATTGTGTGCTTTAAGTCAGCGATTGTGCACGTATCATTACGGTCTTGAGACAAAATTTTTTTGAGATACAAAACTCTTGAGCAAAAATCATTAGGATATGATTTGCGCACTGCATGGTTGTGAATTGCCATTCCGGTCCATTTTCCGAAGTTGCTCAGAGTGGATCACCCTAGCACATGATGCGTTACGCGGCGCACCAGAGCCAATGAGTCGTCTCCGTCGTGACCCCTTGCCCCCCCCCCCTCCCTATGGATCGAGTGTGTGGTTTTCTCATTTACAATAGGCTTCTAGGGACCTTTTTCATTAAAGGTCAAGTTTTTTTCACTTAGATACATTTTAAAACCGGAAAACGAAGTACCGCGGATCGTCCTGTTTTCGCCCCATTTAAATCACTGCAATTTTTTGGAGATTTTCAGCCTTAAGGTGGGTGGCATGTCTTAATACTGTCGGAGAGTGAAAGTATTTTGCAGGTATTATATTTGGATGAAAAGGAACATATTGAGGCGGCGTCGCGGTCCACTTTTCGAAGTTGCCCAGTTTGGACCACCCTAACCCAAGTATCAGAATATACATTTTGGTCCAATCTAATATTTTTCCCCCACTTGTGTAATTTACCAATGGTTAATTTTTTTTTTTTTTTGTCCTAATTTTGTTTTTCTATTTTACAGTCCATTGCGCTCTTATCCATCTTACTTTTTGCCACGTTGTATTTGAAACGATTCCGCTTTTCTGTCATGAAGACACGCAAGATCCAATACAATCCACCCAAGAAGGACGTTTAAAAGAGGAGTGGCATATTAGTTGAAGTTTTCGCTTTCTTTAAATTGCCTCAATACATTTAGTAGGTTAACTATTAAGCGGTATTAAGTATTTATTTTAAATCAACATTTATACACAGGATTCTTGTTTCTAAAAGTGTCAGTACTCAAACTTTTTTTCCCTTCCTGCTGTAAAGTAAGTTCTGCACACTCCTCTCCAATCTACTAGTGAATGTAAATAAACTTTGATAATTGGTGAGATTAGTTTAAGATAAAATTATAATGTAAACTCGAAGCTATTTGCATCATCCGCTTCGAAGGTTCTGAAACAGAAGGAGATGAAGAAATTGAGAATGAAGGAAAACTTGAAGACAGTGTATATCTGTTGCATTTTAAGAGAATACAATGTTCTGTTATTATAACGTTAACTTAATATACATAATGTACATAAATGTTTTCAATGAATGTAGAGTGCATTTTGAACAACTGTTGTTTGTATGTTTTCCTGAAGCAAATTGTAAAGTGGATTATGAATTGCAGGAATGATGTCTCATTGTTATTTAAAAAGTTGGTGGTTTTTCTTTCTCTCTGTTCATTGGTGTTTTATCGGTAGTATCACGGAGATCGGTAGATCTTCCAGCAAAGCTAAAAATGTGCCGACCTTTGCACCACAAACACACGAAAAATGCCTTCAAACTTAGGGCTGTTCTATTGGTTGTCGGTAAGCTACCGAAACAGTTCCGTTAAGAAGAAGTTACGATAAGAGCGCTCTTGCCGATAGCGATCAGAGTTTTCAGAGCTGGCGAAAATAAGCTGTTGCCATTTGTACATCTATTTTACGCGCCGCTGCGCCAGGCAATCTGATAAACCGACACACGGGGCAACAATGCATTGAGTGCGAGCTCTCAAAACTCCGATAAGGCCGGCTGTTGTCGATATCATCGCCACTGTCGGTACTGCCGCCAGCCTCAATAAGAGAGATGTCGATAGTGTTCCGGCAAGAATTCGTTTGAACACCCCTATTCAAACTTATCTGTAGCAACTACAGCAACGCGGGGTAGTAACCGAAATTGGGCCTGTTAACCTATAAATTAAAATATAGGTAAGCCAAAGAGATTATGGTAATAACATTCAATAATAAAACAAAATTCACGAGTGCTTTTCAACCTTTTTGTTTACATTTTGCAATATTTTTATACTACATTTTACAAGCCGACGTTTGGGATCTAAATTCGCTCCATCGTCAGGGTAGACGAGTTATTCAGAACTGAACGAGGATAAACTCGGAAACCCAGTCCAGTCACAGCAAGAGACCAGTTTAACGATAGCAGGAGAATATGACAAACATCAACAAAAACAATAACAATAACAATAAGCACCCGCTAACAAAAAAGCAGTACTCTTATACATTTAAAGTTGTCAGAGATCAGAAAAATATTCCTCAAAGTGAGCTAACTCAGTCCTATAATTTATAGCATTTTGGGTTTTTAAAGTACACAATCCCTGTAAAGTCAACCTCAGCTGTTCTTTTTCTCTTTCTTTAACACCTTGGTGTACAAAACCTACTTTCTCAGGCAGATTCCTGAAGTTTTTATCTGCGCAACCACTCTCTCAAAAAATTAATGTTATTTAAAATTTGCCAAAACGTGTATGCTTACTTCTCATCCTTTGTACCACAAGGACAACATAAGGGGAGCCAAAAAATTGTTATCTGAAAATTGTTATCCCAAGCACCTTCTTAACTCGATTTTTAAGAATATAGTGAATTTTTGTTTTTATGGCTCCCCTCCCCCTCCCAAAAAAAATTGTTTTCGAAAAAACCGAAATAACCGTTTGTCCTTACATATCCTCTTGTTTGGAAAAGATGAGATCCGCATTAAAATGGCATAGTTACACACTGGTCTTTTCCAATAAATGTAATTTGTGAAGTTTCCAGTCTTTTTCACAATCCAGAATTTCCACCGAAAAACCATCAGGAGCGGTATATGAGATCCCATGTACGGATTGTCCGGGGGTCTACGTAGGGCAACCATCGCAACACTTGCACACAAAGCTTGATAGGCATAAATTAAACCAGCGTGAGGTGACTGCTCTAAAACAACGTATAAGGGAAAATAAGTATTCATTTGACTTCAGTAACACCAAGGTGTTAAAGAAAGAGAAAAAGAACAGCTGAGGTTGACTTTACAGGGATTGTGCACTTTAAAAACCCAAAATGCTTTAAATTCTAGGACTGAGTTTGCTCACTTTGAGGAATATTTTTCTAATCTCTGACAACTTTCATTGTACAAGAGTACTGCCTCTCTGTTAGCGGGTGCTTATTGTTAAACTGGTCTCTTGCTGTGACTGGACTGGGTTTCTTGGTTTTTTCCTGGTTCTTGGTTCCTTGGTTCCTTGGTTCTGAATAACTTGTCTGCCCTGAGGATGGAGGCTCCGAAACGTCGGCTTGTAAAATGTAGTGTAAAAATATTGCAAAATGTAATTAAAAAGGTTGAAAAGTACTCGTGAATTTTATTTAATTATTAAATATATAGGTATACATACCCAATATATTAGGGTTTGCTGATTTTCGTTACTTTTTAATGATCGAGTAGCTAAGCAAAAAAACTACTGTCAGGATAATTCTGAAAGGACCCTGCTCATTCCTTTTGGATATGTGTACCAGAATCGATTTTTAATTTTTTAAATTTGTTTTATTGTTTTGAATTCGTCTGGATGCTAATCCAAATTCATGATTGCACCAAATTTCTACGAAGCACCGTTATTGCACAATCTACGAAAAGAGATCCCTCATTTCAGCACATCGATTATGGTTCCGGTAGGTCGGGTGTGTGTAAATCACGTTAACAGGAAAAGCAAACAGCATAGAAGCAACAGTCTTATCTCGAATATATTCCTGCGCTTTCTTTTCACCGTCTCTATCAGTTTCTTTCTCTCTCTCCCACTCTATTGTCCTTACCAGACAGACACGCACTACATTTTGATTTTCCGCATCCTGGCCCGTCCCGGGTATTACCGAAACTTCAATAGCGCACTGTGCAAAAATGGTGGCTTGTTGTAAATTGGCACAATGATGACTTTTGATCAGCAACCATCGACAAATTTCAAACAAGAATAAATTTAAAACCTGATCGTGGTACACACCATCATAAGGAGTTGCCATTTTGGTGTCCGATTTTTCAAAACTTCTTACCAACGGGGATATGATGTTTCAAGATTACAAAACACGTACCAATTTCACTGTTTTCTATGGCATTGCAATGTTTGCCCACCTGTGGCAAAAAAAACTACCAGTAGGATCATGCTGCTATTTGGCATTATGATTCTTGAAGATTCGAAGAAGCACCTTTTTAGTGTTAGATGTTTTAAAACCTGTCATCATGTAAAACTACAGACTCTACTCTGATGACAAGTTTTAAAACATCTAACACTTAAAGGTGCTTCCTCGAATCTTCAAGAATCATAATGCCAAATAGCAGCATGATCCTATTGGTAGTTTTTTTTTTGCCACAGGTGGGCAAACATTGAAATGCCATAGAAAACGGTGAAATTGGTACGTGTTTTGTAATCTTGAAACGTCATATCCCCGTTGGTAAGAAGTTTTGAAAAATCAGACACCGTGTCTGAGTCTGTCTGCCAGTGCGTGTCTGTCTGGTAAGGACAATAGAGTGGGAGAGAGAGAAAGAAACTGATAGGGATGGTGAAAAGAAAACGCTGGAATATATTCGAGATAAGACTGTTGCTCAGATGCTGTTTGCTTTTCCTGTTAACGTGATTTACACACACCCGACCGACCGGAACCATACTCGATGTGCTGAAATGAGGGATCTCTTTTCGTAGATTGTGCAATAACGGTGCTTCGTAGAAATTTGGTGCAATCATTCGCGAGTGGAGTCAACAATGACCGAGTAGTATTTTGCAATTTTCACTAATCTAACCGTGTATTCTGAGACAGATTTTTCCATAAGTTCAATCAGTTCCTCGTAAGTAGTCGAAGAGAGGTAAGAAATGTTGCTGCTACCGGTTGTCTCGGGAAGGGGGGGGGAGGGCTAAAAGTCACAAATCTTATTTGCATACCAGGCTGACCTGAAAAATTATTTCAAAGTGTTTTTTACTTTCTCGCTCCCATAGTTTTTTCTCATTTTCTCGGTGCTGCATCACCAGGATGATCTAAATATACTTACATACCACGGCTCCGTTGACGGAAAGTTATGTGAAAAGTGAATGTACATCTCCGATCTCTTTGGCATCTTCAAGTAGGGTAAAAATACTAAGTTTTTAGCCAAAAATCGAAATGTGTTGTTCGAGCTCCTCGAAAAATATATTCACTTTTAGGTTTTTTTCTCAAAAAAATCACGAAATCGAAGAGATTTCCATTTTCTTCAGGAACAAATCTTATCGCAAACTAAAATCCAATTATACCGTTGAAAAGCTCTTGCTTTCAGCTTTCTAACGAACTATGGGTTTTGTAATTTGGAGCAACAAGCCGCCTATAAACTGAATTTTACTGCAATAATTTCAAGGAATTTTCCGCCAACTCGGACGGCCGGTTCCCTTGCATTTATCTCGGCTGTTTTTGAAGTTAAGAAAGAAAACATGTACACCGTTAGAAAGACCACACTCTCAGCTTTCTATTGGTATAATGACTTTTGAATTTTGAGCAACTCAACGCCGGCACATAGGAATTTTTCGAAACTATGTCCCAAAACGAAGAAAAACGGGTGGCTCCGGTCAAAGTCAATTTCTCGCCGCCCAAATGCACCAAAATGAAAAACCAACATGTCGTTAGAAAGCTAAAATCGTCAGCTTTCGAATGGTACCTTGGTTTTTTGTAGTGTTAAAAAATCTTGATTAAAAAATACGAATCTAAGTCGGAGATGAAACCTTGTATTTTGGCTACTCTTTTTTCCAGGAAGGCATCTCTTAATTTTTCCCCCGTCATTTTTGGGGAGAGTTTGGTCACTCTGAACATTACCTGAGAGACCTGTGTCTCATATGACACATTCTGAATCACACCTGTCTCAGTGAAAATTCATGGTTGCCAAATTTGGTCATTTATCATAGCTTTTCCAAATTACCTAATGTAATTATCGTGCTTTTCCGTGGAAGATGCCACCGTCTGACAACAAGTTCTCTTGGGTTATAACGTTGCTCCGGTTTTTTGACTTAATGATTATTTTAATATAAACATTGATTGATGATAATGCCACGAGATAGATGAACATGAAAAACATGAAGGAACGTTTTCCGCCAAAAATATCGAATATACCCTCATTTTAGGTTAAAAAAATAAATAAAAATTCGGCAACACTGCTTCGGAAAAATCACAACAGCCTTTACTTGCGTTTCCATACGATTTCAGAGTCGAATTCAGCCTGTAGACCGATGTACAAGTCTATTTAACCATGATGCACCGGACTAATAGTCCAGAATTCCTTGATGTTAGCATATAAAAATGAAAAATTGGAAACGCTGTACACCCGAAATGAAGTGTCACATCAAGTTAAAACATTGCCTGGAAGTGTGCCTTACCATAAGCCTTTATTTGAGCCTTGTCCGATTGACCA